ATTACTAGGTGGTGTATTTACACCAAAAATCAATAATGACACAGTTTTTGCAACCAGCGCTCATTCTATGTCATTTTAACATGGGTCGCATTTTTGGATAAAATTAAAAACAGACATTGTTAAAAAAATGAAAAAGAAAATACTCATACAACCCTGATTTGAAATTTCCAGGTTACTAAATCTGGCATAACACTGGTCACAGTAGTCCAGCAGTATGGTCCCTGTTACAGAGAAAAATGTAACTGATTTTGAACCAGTTTGTCTGCTCTCCTGAGGAACTTGAATTTTTAATATTTTTTTTTACCTTTGGTTCTTGTCCAACAGGACTTAACTGGTTTGGAATCAATGGACCAATGTCGTCGAACATTAGAGCAACATAATTGGAACATAGAGGTATGATCGCACAACAAAGGAGATATTTATTTCATCTTTATCACATTTTTTGAACTGTTTACCTTTCTAAGGACTGCAGTTTGATGGGCTTATATTGTGTGTGTGTGTGTTTCAGGCTGCAGTGCAGGATAGACTTAATGAACAGGAGGGCGTTCCCAGTGTGTTTAACCCCCCACCATCCAGACCACTTCAAGTCAATACAGCAGACCATAGAGTATATAGTTACATTGTGTCAAGGCCACAACCCAGGGTAGGCCTGTTTGAAATTCCCCCACAGCAAGCTGCTGCTTTTCTGTTTTACTATCCTGTTTATATCTTATAAAAGTATAATATAACCTGCTTCACTCACAGCCACATTCTATCTGTGGGTGTTGATTTCCCAGTTCATGTACTGGGTAACTCAAGTAGTATTTATTCACAACAGTAAAACATATTACATTTAATAATTTTTTTAAATTTCTTCCTTATTTCTAAAGTAATTTTCTTGTATGTAGCTAAAATGATAATGGTACTTTATAAGCACTTCAGCACTGTGTAGTAATTTGGTATTTCTTTTCAGGGATTACTAGGATGGGGATACTACTTGATAATGCTGCCATTCAGATTTACATATTACACACTTCTGGACATATTCAGGTAGTCAAAGCACATTGATCGAAACTAATCAGCGTCAAATAAAACAGAGTGATCAGCTGCCATTTTGTCTTTTCGTTTCCAAGGTTTGCCCTGCGCTTCATTAGGCCAGACCCTCGTGGTCGCGTGACAGACCCCGTCGGAGACGTTGTGACTTTCATCCGTAGCTTTGAGGAAAAGTACGGTCAGTCCCACCCTGTGTTTTATCAGGGAACATACAGCCAGGTAAGGTCAAAGACATGTGGCAGTTAGACACAAACGTTTGCACGAGTGGAAAATCAGCAAAGTCTGTCTTTTTTTTTTAATATAGGCACTGAATGATGCCAAACGGGAGCTCCGCTACCTATTAGTGTACCTACACGGAGATGATCATCAAGATACAGACGAGTTTTGCCGGTTCTGTATCTGTATTTATACATGTTTTGTACCACTGTTGTACTAATACAAGACTATTCAACTGGTGGTCCATGGGCTACATCTGGCCTGCAGGTGACATCCATCCAGCCCGCCAGTGGGGTACTGCCGCCTGTCAGTTTATTTTTAATTTAATCTAAACATTTTTTGTAAATTTTAAATTCATGATTCAGTGCAACAAAAACAATTAATTTAAATATAATAGTACTTGTTTTATGTAATGCAGTGTTTCCCCTACGATTATGGGGCAACTCCCACCACCCACCAGCAGTCAGGTTCCCAGAGCTTTTGGCTTTAAAGTGCCTGTGATGTATTTTCTTCAAATACAAAAAGTCTAAGAAAACATCTTTATATTTAAGACGGAATAATACACACGATTTAGCCCATTTTGTCCCATAACTGGCATATTTTCTTTTGAACTTGGCTCAGCTAAAGTGAAACAGGAAGTGACATCAGAGGTGAACTCTTTAACAAAGAAAACTCTCTGGTCTTTGTTTATTGAAACATTATTTGTACTCTGACTCTTCTTCATCTCTCTGATAGAGACTCAAAATAATTTTAAACATCAGATTCTTCTCTACAGTCTGGGTTGTTGGCTGTTGTAGCATCGCTCTGTTTACATTCAGACATTCCCCTTTGACATCACTTCCTGTTACTTCACAGCCAAATATCTCAACAACTGTTCATCTCAGCGACATGAAATTTCTTTTGCAATATTTTATCAGTGTCCTCTTTTAAAAAATGCATTCATGTATGTTACAAAAATTTGACGTCACAGGCACTTAAGTAACTGTGGCCCCTAGAACACAGTTGAATAGCCCTGTACTAATATGTCTGTTAGTATGGTTGTTTTTATGGCACATATTCTCAAGTTCATGAATACAATATGATTTTTTTGTTGTGTCAGCACAAATATTTATTTTTGTCTGATGTGCTTTTTCTTAGCTCCACGCTATGTACAGAAGAGGTCATAACCTTCCTCAACACACGAACGCTCTTCTGGGCATGTTCAACCAGCAAACCTGAGGGCTACAGAGGTATGCCAGAGTGTGACATGTCTCATGGGTTCCTTTGAACACACAAATGTCCTGTAATACAAACAAACAAGCAAACACCGAGTGAGAATTACTAAGCTGCATAACCTGAACGTTTATTGGAGTTTTGTTGTGTTTTGGTGCAACTTAGTGTCCCAGGCGCTGCGGGAGAACACCTACCCGTTCCTGGCCATGATCGTGCTGAAGGACCGCAAGATGACGGTGGTGGGCAGGCTGGAGGGTCTCATTCAGCCGGAGGAGCTCATCAATCAGCTCAACTTCATCATGGAGGCCAACCAAACATATCTGATGTCAGAGCGCCTAGAACGGTACGGCAAGCCCAGTCCAGGTTCCCTTTAAAATATCAAGTCCTGTTTCTTACACTGACTGTTTCAGAGTCTTCCCTTTCAACTGCCGTCACACAAACAAATCAAGAAGAATAAAAAGACCAGGGATTATATAAAGTTATGTGGCCCAACAGTGGGTTTTAGATGCCGTTGATGCACCAAAATAAGTATTGGTTGAAAGAGTAAAGATGAAGGTTTGTGTTTCAGAGAGGAGAGGAACCAGACTCAGGTGCTGAGGCAGCAGCAGGACGAGGCCTATCTGGCTTCCCTCCGTGCCGACCAGGAGAAGGAGAGAAAGAAAAAGGAGGAGCAGGAGCAGCGGAGGCAAGAGGAGGAGAAGGTCCGACAAAGTGCTCTGGCAGAGGAGCGGAGACGAAGAGTGAGTCTGATTATTATTTTTATGTTTTTAATTATCTGTACACGGAGACTTTAAGCAAATCCTAATGCAGCGTTTTTTTATTCATTTCTAATTTGTGATGCTGATTGTTGTGACTCCAGACCCTAGAGGAGGAGAAGGAGAGGAAGTCCGAATGTCTTCCTCCAGAACCACCCGTCGATGACCCAGAAAGTGTCAAAATAGTGTTTAAGCTGCCCAACGACACACGAGTAGAAAGACGGTTCCTGTTTGGTCAGTCTCTGACGGTAGGTCCTGTTTATTTGCACATTTTTATCATCAATGAAGAGCTTGTTTTAGCAAACATACACTGCCTGGCCAGAAAAAAAAAGAAAAAAAAGAAAAAAAAGGGAGTTCTACTATAGCAGCAGCGTCGCTAACAGACGCTTGCAGACATGGCAAGCGCGTGGATTTAGCATTACTATACATGTTGGCAAAATAACAAACAAGAAGGACTGATGTCAAATTTACAAAAACTTTTTTAATGGTGATAAACAAAATATTATTAATATAATAGAGTGTATATAAACTGTCTAATGTATATAAAATGCCAGAAAGCTATGTGTCTCATTTGACAAGTAAGCAGATTTGATCATATTTACCTCATTGTGGGTGTGATGAGACTGCTGAAACATGCTACAAGTTAGTACAAATATTTAATATGCTATATAATAGGCTGGTTTTGCCTCTAATATTCTATATTTTACTACTTTAAAATTTCTATTAGACAAACCCGATCTGTTGAGAGGATGTTTAGAAACAGTAGAGACAAGTTTCATTCCATCACTTGGGATGCAGTGAACATTTTCTAAGTGTCGACTGTTAAATATTTCTTATTTAATTCAATTCAAAAATTCTTTATTGATCCCAGAGGGAAATTAGATCAATTTATTATAATATAATTATAATTTATTAGATTTGACAGATGAGCAATAATAAATATATTTTATTACTAGTTGAAGTAATATTTTTCCAACTAGCTAAAAAGTTGAAGTTATTGACTAACTTCAGGTCTGATTTAGATCATTTTTAGTTATAAAGAAAATATTTTCCTTATCTCATCCAGCTGTTTTACATTGTTGTTGAATTGAGCGAACATAGTAAACAACTATATAAATTTATTGTAAAAATAGGACAAAGATTTGTGGCACAGATCCAGTTGGGCTTGCTGTTTAAAAATAGTTGCTTTGTCAGCTGTCTGCTTGGTCACCATTTTTGCTCCTTTATGTTGTCACAGATAGGAGAGGCGGGGCTCAGTCTAGTGTTGTTTAAATCTATGGTGCTGAACAATTMATGAATGAAAAATGTCTCCTGACCAACAAGCTCTTAATATTTGTGGAGATTTGTTTTTTAGTACTTATTTGAAAGACTTCAACATTTTCGAAGCAGAAAACAAAATCCTTTACATCCTTGTACCTACTTGCCTTTTCACTGGTATTTTTTTCCCTTCACAGGTAATACAYGACTTCCTTTTCTCTTTGAAAGAAACTCCAGAGAAGTTTCAGATAGTTACAAACTTCCCTCGCCGAGTCTTGCCCTGTCTCCCGACTGAAGAGCAGCCTAACCCCCCCACCCTGAAAGAGGCAGGACTCAGTCGCTCCGAGGTCCTTTTTGTTCAGGACCTTACGGACGATTAATGGATGGCATATCTCTTCCACACAGCAGCTCATTTTCCTCCCGACACTCACTCACGTTGTTTATTTAATTTTTATTTTTTGGTCATTTTTTGTTCAAAGGCCATTATGCATAAGGGATCATTGCGATTGAAAAAACAAAACAAAAAACCCCTAACCTGGAAAATTTAACCACCCTGCATCCAGTGCTCTTTAGTTGTTTTCAGGGTTCCCAATAGCCTGGAAAGTCTGGGATTTTAATTGAATAAAAATTTCTTGAAGTCCTTTCTTTAACTCATTTTGTGAAAGAAAAAGAAAACTTTTTCATTGTCTGTGTTATCTAACAGGTTATTTCCCTCCTTCCTCCACAATAGCTAAACAATGGATTAATAGCTGGCGAGATGTACTAAAGCAGTAGCACAACCTTCATATCTCAAACTGTCCAGACGACTGAAGTAGACACAGCATGATGAACAGATTTTTTTATGATGGTGTTAAATACCTTTGCTTTGTTTCTGTTATTTGATCCATTTAAGACCCCTTAAAGTTTACATTTCCTCCACTGAGTTTCAACTAAAGTGGTCCAAGGTGTGTTCGATGCAGCTGCCATCAGCGCCAAGAGAAAACTGAGACTTTAGAGGACGAGGATCTGGACACAAATTACAGGAACCCTGTTTTAAATGAGCCATCACCTGTACATAAGTTAAATATTTAAAATCCCCGTATTGTTTTGACTCACATCGAAATGACCAAATGCAGGTTTGTTACTATGTCAAGCAGACTGCCTGGAGCTCATGAARTTTAAAATTACGAAGGAAAAAAAGAGGCCACAGCTTTTCCATGTGGCTTTATCTAGTGTAGTACGAGTCTGCCCATAGTGTGCCTGTGGTTACTCATAGATGCCTGTTTTGCCTGTAACATCTGAATGGGCTCATGTAAAGATGTAATTTTCCAACTATAAATTAAAAACGTTTTAAAAACCTGGATTGTTTTTCTGAGATCGTGCGGCACTTTAATGACAACCGTCAATAATCACAAGACTTGTTATAAACAAGGTTTGGGAGCACAAGTTTGAATTTATTACAAATTTTCTTTTATTCACAAATTTAAATGCATCCATTCACCTAAAACAGAGCTACAACTGGTACCTCCTGCCCACGAGTGACTTATTTTTTTTTAACTGTTTAGATTTCAAATCAATTTAAAATGTAACGTACTTGTTCTTTTACATAATAGTGTTTCCCTTACCTTACCGGCCAAAGCTCCTCCCACCTCTCTGGTCCGGCCCCCTGAGCTGTTGGCTTTGAGTAACTGATAGAATAAAATAAATCTACTGCCAGTGTTTTTTGTTTTTGATGCAAGTACTGCGATGCTAAAAGTTGAACAATATGAAAAATTGATGCATACCAATTTTCATCTAAACATCTAAAACGTTTGTGTGACAAGGCCAGAAAAGTTGATAGATATAAGGCAACCTATGATGGTCAAAAGGTTTTCCATTGCTAGTCCAATGTGGGCACAACTTCTGTCTCCTTTCCAGGTACTAACCAGGCCTGACACTGCTTTGCTTCCATAATTGGGCAAGAGCTGGTGTGTTCAGGGTGGTGCAGCCATGGTGTGAATTAGTAACGGAAAATATGACCAAAAATTGGAGAAAAAACCCAATTTCACCTTCTGCACTCAAAGTATTATTAAAATCAGTTTAAATATGTTCTGTCATTACACAAAACGAGACAAAAAAGTTTAAAGAATTCCTGAAAAGCGTAAATTAACGACATTAACCCTCATGATTGCAGGTAAACATCCAACAGCAACTGTGGGTGATTTTTTTTAAGAAGTTTTAAAAACAGCATTAGTCACACCGATTAACAGTAGGGTCTAACTTTCCAACGCAGAGTCAAATAAGATAATTGGGATACTGATATACATCATACATTTATTAGTGAACCCTCTCAAATCAGCCACAACAATTAAAAAAAATGATTGCACTACTTGGTAAAGCATAACTAGCAACTTTCATTTAAAAAAAGTACAAATTTTAAAAATTTCAAACACTATACAGATGTTTATATAATACACTAACTAGTTATGTTAATGCTACAAACAATATGATTCCAATGGAATGAAAAAAAATTATAACATTTATAAGAACCATTTCCTATATATAATATATATTAGTTGTTTTCTCCCTCTTCCCTTGCCCCCACCCACCAAAAACAAACATGAGGGGAAAAATGAGGTAACTGTAAATGTGCAAGTACCAAAGCAAAAATATCTGCCTAACACAGAACAACACATGCCCCTGGCTCTGGTGGTGGGTGGGTTAGTCTGGTGTTCAGGCATGGACCCCTGGAGACCAAGGAGAGTTTTAAGAACAGTAAACCACTATCCCACCACAGCGGAAAGAAAATAATTGGTAAACAATAAATGGCGTCTACAGAGCAATCAATCACAACTCCTAAATAAGCTTTAGCTGCTTATTGGAAATAACAGTTTTGCACCACACAAGCTGTGAGATTATTCGTTAACTTCTTTAACAGAAAGACTACAAGACTCTATTAAATCTCAAGTTGTCATTAAAAATTAGCTCATTACCTAGGCCTTAAATGGGAACATTTTTCTTTTTCTTTTTTTAATATGGTTGCTGGATACTGTCAATTATTAAATATTTCTCTCTGAAAAGAAATRGTGCTAACATTACCATGAGTTAAAATATCTATATGTGAACAATACATTTTTAAGATATTCATACACTGAGAGCAAGAGCCAGATAGGCAGATACATTACTACACTGAAATAAGTATGACAACACTTTTAATCTTTTTTAAAAACCCTTAAACTATATTAATTTTCACTGACATTGTTTAGGGGTATTGGTTCAACATGCTATAAGAATACATGGGTCCATGACAAACTATTGCATTCACGCGCGTGAGTTTTCATACCTAAAAGCAGAACATCTAGCACCTTTTCACTATGGCTTTTTGATAAAGACTACAGTAGTTTCAGAGCGTGTAATTGTTCAGTCGTCAGGGCAATAAACAGTAACACAACGGATGTACGAATTTCCTGTCGAGACCAATTTTTTTCTTATTAAACTCTTCTCTTTTCTTTATAAAATGAAGTTAGCGCATAAAATCTTGTAGTCATTCAGTTCTATTACAAATGTGTGCAGTACAATGCATGGCAGTTATCAGCTGAGCATCAGGATCCAAACTCCCAGAACCTAAAGCCAACTAGAGCTTCAAAAATAAAAGAAAATTAAGGAAAAAATAATAAAAAAAAAATCAGTCGGGGTTCTGGTTAACAAGCATGCATATTGTGCACCATTAAATAGGTCCCCACCAAATTTTGCAGATAATCCTCCACTGTAACACATTTGTTTTACTTTTTTCTTTTCTTTTTTAAGTCATGCAAACACCTCTGAAGTCGATTTAGGAGTGAATTAGGTAGGATAAGAGTGCGCTCCGGCACATTTAGATATGGGTTCACAACTGCTACGTCTGAACGCATTGTTTGAGTACAAGAACAAAAGGTCAAACAGGTCTGAATAATACACTTGTAATGAGTTATCGTCTTGTTCAGTGAATATTGGTAACATACTTGTTTTAATCTTTTCTTGCATGCCTGTCTTTATATGGTGTAATATCTACTATTTCAGACAAAACAGAATAATATAATTGATTACATTTAAATCATTTATGGTCAAAGAAAACTGACCAAACTAAATTCAGATATACCCTTTTTCATGGCATCCTTTCCATTTGAAATGGACTGTTCATCTTTATTTTTATATACCGAGAGGCCCTGAGTGATATTTTTTTTAACATACAATATATGCCAGCAAATAGATATGTACACATAGGTTAATTCTCAAAGCTGTGGGTTTAACTCATTAAATGGCTTACTTTTTTTTTAACTCTTGAAAGGTGGCACACGTCAAAGACACACATTCACTTAAACAAAAGTTAAAGAAAAAGGCAAAGGAACCCTTTACACATCAAAGCAAAGGTTACAACTGCCTGTTAGTGCTTACTGGGGCAGCTCAGAAAAGAAAGAAATTTCAAAGCAAAAAGTTCATTTGTTGCTTTTTCTTTTTTTTTTTCCATTTCTTTTCCCACCCCGAGTATATCCTGTTTTTTTTTTTTTTTTTTTTTTTTTTTTTTGTTAGTGTTAACACGAGCAGGGGATGAGAAGTCTTAACAGTGTTTCTACACTACTGAACGCTCCGGCTGTGTGAAGACAGCAGGTGTTAGTGTGGAGCGTCACCAGTGACTTCTACAAGAGTTTAACATTCTTCTGTCTTCAAACATTTTTTTTTTCTTAAAAGCATTCACAATGAAGCTATACAGTTGCTTTGATTTTTTTTTTTTTAAACACCACCATTATGGCCCTACGGTAACGATCTGAACCAACTTCCCAGATTTTAACACAACTTCCTTAAACATTAGAGCTTCAACTGTTTCCTTCAATGGATTTTTTTTCCTTTCAAGAATAAAAACCAATAAATAAAYATTTTTATAACTGTTCAAAGTAGGTTGAAATGACAAAGGATTGGTAACAGATTTGTGCTTGTCAACGTCATAAAAAGGCAGATTTGAAATCTTTAACAGTAGGCTATATATGTGTATCGGATTTGGCTCACAAAGAAATAAAAAGCCCCAAGTCTTCCTAAAAAGGGGAAGAAAAAGTTCGTTTAAGACTCACCACTCGCTGCACGTATTGCTTTCTGCACACAGCTCTACAGCAACAGTAAAGCCTTCAGAGGAGGTCTTCCTCCCCTCTCTTTTAAACAGAGTGTAACCACGTGCTATTTGTTTTTCTTCTTCTCCCCTCGTGGTGCTTTTTGGGTGAGCAAGCAGTTCTTTTAGTATTTTTCTATGACTCTTTTTTTTTTTCTCCTTAAAAGTGGATCATTTTGGTGGCGATGCTTGATTAAAATATTGCTAGTCGGAATCAACAGTTCATGCAAATCCTAGCATGCTGCCCTGTATCCAGTGGTTACACAAAATGCATTGGCTCTGTGAACAGGACAAACACACGCACGCACGCACACTCGCACTATATTCACACACGCAACGCACTTGCCGGAGGAACAACGCTTGACGTAGAGGGTGGATGTAGCACTTGTGCAGTTATGGCAGATGACCTCAAAAAGACGCAGTCCATCAATCCACCACTGCTTTTTGTACAGATCTGTGTTCCAGAGTGGATGGTGAGGGTGCGCACACACCCTGCAGCTGCACGTCCCCCACGTCTTTTGCAGTCCTTGACCTCGGGCTGAACAGAATCTGCATGTGACCACAGCCTTGCCACACTTTCACAATAGCATTGGCAAAGTTGAAAACAAATAAAAAGGTGTAAAACTGTTAAAAAGAATCGATACATTATTGCAGAACATACATTATTAACAAGTCAAATTGCCCAACAACTACACAAACATGCATCTCTGATGGTTAAGCGTATCCAAACACAGATACCCACGCTAAAGAGCTCCTAATATCTTTTTTTTTTGTTGTTGTTGTTTTCTGCTAATTGCACAACGTGTCCAGCCTAACATCCTCCAGGCTACCAGCTCATCTCCTCCAATGCAGGACTTCCCCCTCTTTTTTTTTTTTTGTGAACATCACACCGAATCCACAAAATAAAAAGGAAACCCTGTAAACAAAAGCAGCAAATAATGCATTGTAGGGGAAAAAATCTTTGGAATCTGCAACACGAGGGCAGAGAAAGAACTGGCTGGCGACCCCAGAACTCTGGCTATAGGCTGCAGTAGGCAGTGGGTTTCAGGACACTCAGACAATGTAGCACAGCAGAGGTACAACACGCTCCAGTATCAATCCTGGACTGCTTTTTTTTTTTCTCTTTTTTTGTGTGTGTCTTGAAAGAAGACAGGAGTGGTGGGTCGTTAAGCTATATTTACTGGAGGATGCAGGTTAAGTGGCAGGTGTCCCCAGCGTTGACACAGACTCTGGTGTGAGAGGCTTTCAAGTTCAGCACTCAGAGACTGTTTTCACTCCACCTCCCGGTGAACGTCCGAGGCGTCGGCTCTGCAGATCGGACAAGTGCGATTGGTCTGGAGTGGAAAAACACGCATTAAACACAAATTAAACAAACATATTTATGAAKTTGTTTTATCACAAATTCACACACAGACAAAAAAACAACAACATACCTTTAACCATTTATCCACACATTTGGCGTGAAATTCGTGGTTACAAGGTAATACCCGAAGTAGCTGCCTACACTCAAAGTCACTAAAGCACACAACACACCTGTGGAGATGAAACAAAATGTATCAAATCTAACAATATTTTGAAAATATACTGTCAGATTCTGTTAAAAGAATAAAGGGGACTTACAGCGTTTGTTCAGACAGGTGATTTTCTGAGTTGAACCTGTAGGACGGAAGTAACTCTATATCTGCTTTTGTGAGTCCACGTGGTTTTGCTTCGCCCAACCTCTCTGCCAAATTCAGTAATGCCTTCAAAATAAAATAATAATGTTGGATTTAGGAACATTGGCTTACAGAGAAAACCATCTCTTACATTTAGAACTCCTGCTTCTTTATAAAACAAAACTTTAGATTTGAATTTTGATTTCAAAATTATGATTAAAGTTGTTTAACCATTTCCTAAAAAGGCTCACCTGGTGAGAACATGTGTCTTTAGTGATCAGACCACCACCAGTTTAAATTATCATATTTGTCTGGATTGTTATTTTTCTGTTAAGAAACATTTTTGGCACTGAAAACCTACGGATTCCTTTTAAATTTCTGACAAGATGGCAAATACATTAGTTTTGAGCTGCCATAGCCACCTGGGACATGTATATACTCTGCTCATCCACAGTGACCTGATTTACTCAGAGTTACCCACTTGTGCTTGGATCACTCAAAACACAAACTAATACCAGGTTTATACTGTATGCTATCAACATAAAGAAGACATACGGTAGAAGGCCTTGTTTGAGCTTTAGATAAAACAGCCACTAACTTCATAGTTCTCCATCTCCACATCATCCACATCCAGGTCTAAGCTGATGGCTGGACCCACAGCTGATGGAGGCACAGGAAGCATCGACCTGAGCAGAAAGAGAGGCATTATAGCTGCTGCACACTCAACCTATCGTGACGGCTTCAACGTCTCAGTGTAAGCTTTGTACATAGAAACAGATCACTGTGCTACATTTATTTAATAAACAGAATAAATAAAGCTGTTTAACATGGTCAGAAAGGTCAGAAATGGTCATGGGTCAAAAAACACATAAAGGGTAGGTAAAATCGGGCGGGTTCAGAGAATTATGTGAAGTTGAGGGATGGGGGGTCTGTGCTGGGCCCAACCCTGGGCCCATCCAGAGTCTAGAGTCACATGATGTTATTGTTTCTACTCAGTTCGCTAGAGTTCTGAGATTTTCCTCCTCCTTAGCCATTTGAGCCAGGTCCAACGCAGGTGATGGGGGTGGGAGCGAATCCAGCTCTTAGTTGACATTCCATCCTGGGGAGGTTAAGATAAGCACTGCCCTCAAGGCCGTGCCACTAGCCGTGTTTCTATAAAGGTTTTTTAATGCACATTTTGAAGTATTGCATCAGAAAAGGTGAATGGAAACGGCTTGATTCAAAAAATTTTCCTCTAATTTGCATCAAAGTAGATACGCTCGCTTGAGGTGGTTTTTGGGTTTTTCGAAAAAGAGTTAATGCGCAAAAAGAGAGACGGAAACACATTTCTCGAATCAGGTCTGACGTAGCGAACATTTACCTCACATGTCGATCAGCTGTTCCCGCTGTCTGTCCGAAACCGGTCCGGTACCAGAGCAACTGCAGCCGCAACTGCAGCTGGAACCYCCTCCCGCTGTCGGCATATTCCGTAGCATGAAAAGAATCACAGTTCTTTCTCTACGTCTCCCGACCGCATGTAAAATTGCCAAAACTAGTTGATTACAGAATAATTACAACTTTCCCGACAGTAGCAACACATTCCTGATAACTCCTCTCCATTTTCCTGAGATGCGACTTTTACTTCCTGTTTACTACACGCATGCATCTGACGGAACTGATTCGCTTCAAGCCAGCTGACGGAAACACGTCTGATTCGCATTTCTTCATTTTTTCCTTTTTGCAAAATTAAAAAAAAATTTGCTCAAAATTCGAATTAAAATTGGATGGAAACACGGCTACAGGGAGCCAGATAGATAATCCAATTGTTTTGGAACAAAGCAGCCTTGAAATTCCTGCTGCTTTTGAAATGTCTTTACTGCAAACTCTGAGGTGGCGAAAAAAGCCAATCAGCTGAATTTGGGGTGATTCCTTGCCTCTCACCGATTGAAGCTCGCCCAGATGTAGTCCATGCATGCCGAAGGGTCGCTCCTGAGCTGTGATCCTCATCAGAATCACATCCAGTTTGCAAATTTTTCCCCCAGCTGAGAGTCTGTGTGCTTCCAGCCGGCAGAATCCTTCAAGTGAGCCCGACAGCTCTTCAAAGGCCCGATCCACTGTCAGGGTCGCTTTCACTTTTCAATAAATCTGGAACCCTCCGCCCATCAGCAGGAATCCAGTTATCATAATCCAAATAAATAATGATCTTCCATGTCTTCGATGGAAAGTGGCGCTGGCATATCAGATTCCAGCCCCAGGAATCAGAAAAGTCCAGCAGCAACAATTCCACCCAGATGGCCACATTCCCCTCGTTCCAAGTGTAGAAAAAAATTTGTGTCAATTTCATTCAGAGTCCAGTTGACCAAATCCATAATTCCTTTAGTTTCGGATGGAAGGTGAAAAAAGAGCTCGAAAAAGCAAAAGCAGCGAAGCTGGGGAGGAGGACAGAGAGAGCGAAAGCACGTCCTGCTCCTCTGAAGGCCAAGCAGAAAAAAGGAAATGTAAAGTAGGGCTGCAACTAACGATTATTTTAATAATCTATTAATCTGTCGATTATTTTTTTGATTAATCGGCCAAATCATTAAAACGCTTAGTTACATGAAAATGAGTAGATAAAAAATTATTTCATTCCTGTATAAA